TATATACAGGTGAAACTATCCCCCGCCGGACACCATCCCGGTATTTCTGAGTCAAGGTTTTGGGGCCTGAATTTTTTGTGTTACTAGGTAGGCCTAACAATCAGGTATTAAAATAGGACTTTTAATGATCATAGGCTCTAGGCTACGCCTAAAGTGTAGGCTAGCCAGCCTTTGTTGAAAGGGCATTTCATGAAAAGGGGGGTTCGTTCGAACCCAACAAACCCCCCTGGCTACGGGCTTGGTACTCTACCTATATTATTTAAAGCTGCTACACCATCCTCACTGTGAGAGAAGAGATTGTGGCTGGCCGCAGTGTGTATTTTTAATAAGATATTTTTTCTTACTAAATTATTCTTTTTCTATCAATTGAGTAAGGTTTTTGTTATAGTGCTTGGTATGTTTTGTGTGCAAGGTTGTACATATTTGAGTCAAAGTCAATGACAATATTAAACTTAAGTAAAAAAACTCAACAAAAAGAAAAAAAGTAAACCAGGAAACATTTTCTTTTAGCAAAACGTGAGCAGAAAAGTTTTTATTGCAAAACTATACAAGTTATTACAAGTATACCACCAAGCAAACAGAAATGCACACCTCATCAACAAACTAAACAACAAATTATGGTTTTAACGACATCTTAATTTTATAAAAATGAATTCCAAATGGTAATGCCCTTAAAATCGCATCTTATCACTAGACTTTCAATGGTAAGGTCGGGGGTTCGAGACCGATGCTCGTCACACTGATTGTGTGCTTGGGCCGGGCAAGGCACTATCTGCATTTCCCTCTGTTTACCCAGGAGTATTTAAATGGGCACTTGGTGGAGGTGAACGATTTAGAATGAAATTAGTAGTGCTGATTACATGTATAACTAGGAATACTCCCAATGGGAATGATAACGCCTTAAATCGTCGTTCTTGTGCATAGAAAATATTAGTAATAATGCAATCAGGCGAAAAAAAAAGCGCCTTGAATAGTTTTCTGGATATGTGCGCTATATAAATCCTATAAAATAAATAAAAAAAGAAAGAAATTTTCCAGACGCCATCATACTGTAAAACCATTGACTGGTAATCCATTTAGAATTTGGGTATCAAAATGTTATTGAAAACGGGATTATTTTGATCAGTGACTGGAAGTTTATAATGTAATTGATCCTTCAAATAAGAAATTGAATGTAGGCCTATTAATGGAATTTGTCTTAGCCTTTTAGAGATTTTAACACATTATCAGTACGATATATCTTTACTGATAAACAACATTCAAAATAAAGACAACAATTTTATATTACAATTATAACAATGCAATACGACAGCTAAATAAAACATCAACACATATCAGCACTTACTAAATTTTTAAGTTGAAAAACTTTAAATTGCGCAGTTCAAAATCAAGGTGAAATTTTTATGTGAAAGTTTGCTGGTATAAACTAAAACATAATTACATTAATGAACCAAATTTTTTTTGTTACACTTCTACATAATATTCCTGGCATCAATATATTGCAAAGTGGGCTAAAGACTAGCCTTATACAATTGCATATAGAGTACTACAGTGTTTGCTATCATTGCAAAATGCATTCAACCCGACGCCATTTCTGCCACTAACAAACCATTGATCCCAATTTCTAACGTAATTATTAAGATGTTGTATCTTACTTTTTCTTTTTAAATTTTAATTGATGATTAAATGTGTGTTCGATAACTAATATAATGCGAGCTTTTGTGTTTTTAGTACATTTTGATAGAAAAATATTAGATTTTAAAATGCCTATTCAAGAAAGCCTATGCAGTCATTCAGGCGTAATGATCGGTAACCTACGTCTGTTGACAACAGAGAGCGCCACCTGGCGTCATGACGACACCACTGTGGTACTCTATTAATATTTCCTTCATTCCAATTGACTATTCTACAAAATAATCAATACAATAACAAAACATTATTTAATTAACCAATCGATAAAATTATGCATTAAGCATTAAGTCATTACAAAAAAATAATTATCAAATTATCCCCACCTGATCAATATATTAATCTATTTATAAAATTCACAATATTGTATATAACTATATTATTTATATTTATCAAAAATGAAAGTTTCAATATTAATACAAATATATATGGTTGCTATTTTATCACAATTTTTTAACAGTATAAAAAATATGAAAATATTGTTTAGTTATGAAAGCAAGCAAAGGAATTATACATTACACTATAGCCCACAGATGTAAATAACATAAGATAGAACCTTTATAGTTTTAACTCAAATAAGCACATGTATTCAAAACAGTTTGCAAGTACACAGAGATCCATTACAGTGATTATTCTCCCGCAAGTGATGCCATAGCTGGGGGCTTTCGGTTGGGGATTCTTAAGCATCATCTGCTACTAATGTACATACTGTATTGGAATTATTGTATGTTCAGTATGTATTTTATTTTCAATCATAATTTACAGTACTCGAAATACTTTGCACCACCATACATAGACATAAGAAGCATATGGGGTACCCCAAGGAGGTCCCAGTAATGACAGCACCAATAGAGGGCGCCCTTTCCTAATTGGATTTGTGTATATCTTTCACAAGTAGATATTTTTGGTAATTTGTAATACTTGTTTAGACATTGTCTATGAGCTACCAATATCTTGTTGACATAGTGACATACCGTAAAACCTCGAATTGAAGCCCTGAGCTACTTCTTTTTTTTTGCGAACTTTGAATGGGCTTCTTTTCAAGATGGACTTCATTTCGAGTTGGGCTTCATTTCGAGATGGGCTTCATTTAAAGATTGGCTACTTTTCGAGGCTACTTTTGCAAAGTAAAGAGGGGGGGGGGGCTTCTTTTCAAAATGAATGCTGTAAATTTTGTGAATTTGTACCATAAAACAAAAAATAAGGCCACTGTAACATCAATCTGTATCATGGAGTGTATTTAAATGGCATTAAATCACCTAAACTACTGTAGAAACCAAGCTTGTTTTTAATTTATTTTGTTTTCTGACATTCATGTCCAGTGTTTGTACTGTACTATCTTGAAAAAAAGCCTATGCTATCTTGAAAAGAAGCCCATAGGCTGCTTTTTGACATGGGCTTCTTTTCGAGGCTAATTTTGCTAACTAAAGAGGGGGCTTAAATTCAAGATGGGCTTCATCTCGAGATTAAGCCCACTGGGCTTCAATTCAAGGTTTTAAGGTATTGTTCAATTCAGCCGAATTGAAGGTAGCCATGATCTATATGTGAAAGATAAGTATTTATCAGAAAAACAATTTAATCAATAATAATTGAATAATATTTAATTTTCATGAAAAATTGCAATCATCCTTCAAGCAAATTGTCTGGTCAAATTGTATCAATCAATCTTGCTGAAAAAAAAAATTCATAAAGTCTCTTTTCCTAATCTGTGAGCCTAATGTTAATTCAATTTTGATTATGGCACCTCTAAAAGGCCGAAAATGGCACTCTTAAACTTAATTTGATTATTTTTCTATTTTTCTCCATTTTTAAAAATAATTTTGTAAATTTAGTTTGGGGAGGGGAAAGGGGTGTGGCTAGCTGGGATGGGTCACCCTTGAACCCACCACTGTTATGGACATGAATTTGTTCAAAAAAGTTTGTTAGGATCTAGCACAACTAGAAATATGCTCCACATAGCGAGGTGTTAATAGCTCCGAGCCGCGCAGGCACTGCTGTACACTGTAATCCGATGCCAAGGTCTTGTCTGAAAAAAAAAAAAAATGTGATTGTAATTTAGGTTTATCCATTAGAATGAAGCTTTATTTAAAAAAAAAATATATTTTAACCACAGATTTTAACCCTTGCATACACAGGCTAAATAAAAATAAGTATTGTGTTGGTCATGCCGGACCGACCCAAAATGTACGAAATTGATTTTTGGCATTATTTTAATTTTTTTTTTTTTTTTCCACAATGAAAATTTTTTTTTTTTAATGAGCTAAAAAGGCTGGAACAGGCCTAAGGTCTATCTTGCTGTAGAGTAGGCAATGCGACAGCGTTATGCGATCATTTTGCTCTTCAATTCAGAATTTAAAATGGTCTTTGTTGTATTTTTATGTATTTTCTACTTTTTAGGCCTAAAAAAAAACTTTTCCTACCGACCTACCCATTTTTTGGATTTTTTTTTTTTTTAATACAGTTTAAAAAAAAATCATAATAATGTACTAATAATAATCAATACTAAAGATAACACTAACACTAACTCCAAAGCGGCCGCCAATATCAACATGAGTCATATGCGGTGGTGATGATGATGTGTTATATACACAGTGTCTATGATTTATCTATTAATTATTATTAGAGTGAGGTTAGCAGGCTGAGTTGTACGCAATTACTTTCAGAATGTTTGCTCTACTTTACAAATGTTGTACAGTAGTCTTCCAGACCTATAGACAGTTATATATAGTAGATAGGAGGTTTGGTTTATTAAAACACAAATTAAAATAATGTCTACGTCTTACCTGCTGTAGTCCATTTATTATTGGCAATGTACATAACAGCGGGAATGCAGTATTGTGCCACACCCAAGGCATTGGGGTCCTTGGAGTTGATCATCCATACAGGAAACACAACACGACTAAAGAACTGTTTAAATAAATAGCAAGAAAAATTGTCACAACCATTCCAACTAGGCAACATTATCAACAACATGCTTACAATGTGATGCCTGCATCGTCCAAATTTAGCATGCATTGGTTAGGCCTTTGTTTTAAAATGTTACACGGTTATTAATCATTTGGCCTCATATTGTAACTCTGTATTTAAAATCAAAGATGGATTGGATTGGATTTATTCAGTGTAAACACCAAGGATAGCCCACGAAAGTCTAGAAGAAGACTTATTTCCAGTGGGGTCATTTTGGTGGTGATTGGGCAGTACACCAGGGGACAATCCCCTACTCTTTTCCGAAGAGTGTATTGCATTCTTTAACATGCATATGAGCCATAAACGCACACAGGACCAACGGCTTAAACGTCTCATCCGAAAGACTGTGCGCTATTGTAACTTGTATTTCAGCCCTCCAGGTGAAACCAAGGAGAGACAGCGATGAGAATTGAACTGGGGACATAGAGATCATCCACAGTTCAGCGCACACACAGTGGCTACCACCAGATTAGCCAACAGAGCTAAGCTGCTCTCTTTTCATCGGCAAACAGTTCTACAACCATCAGCTGACGCTGTTCCCAGGATGACATATGCCAACAAAGATGCCAAGTATTGTGTCCAACATCATGTTAGTCTTACCTGTGGACATCCTGTGTACTTGTCTAGCCTTTGAAGTTCTTCTTTAGTGATTAAGTAGACACACCCTTCAACAGAATTTTCTGGATTGGACTCGATGTTGGCAAAGACACCAGCATCAGCATCTGACCCTGTAATAACATAATAAACAAAAATAAACCAATACAGATATGATTCTTCTAAAAGCCACATTACAGAAATAACTTGTGTATTAATTACAAGCGATGGATAAACATATATTATAGTTAGTGTGGCTGGTGCAGTGACTGAAGTTCAGTGTCTTAACGTTAATAACAATAATATGTAGCTTTTTATATAGCACTCTACACAATGTCACAACTAAGTCTCTTTTCCACATTATTACCCAAGTTATTGGAACGATGCCTATGGGAGAAATTCCATAGTTTGCTGCATGAAATATATCAGCGTATTTTGCACTTGAACCTCTGCAGGTACCCATTTATACTCCTGGGTGGAGAGAAGTAATGCAGATAAAGTTCCTTGCTCAAGGACATAAGCATTATGCACAGCGCGGGATTGAAACCAAACCGTTCCTGCTGCGCCAAACCATTTCCACCTTCAGTTTGAAATATTGAATCCTCTCTGTGAAATTCACTTGTATCCTTAAGAAAGGTACTTTACCTACGTCTCTCTCTCTACATATAATAATAATAATAATAATAATAATAATAATACTGTAGTTTTATATAGTTATATAGCGCACATATCCATCTAATGTAAGATGCTCAGGGCGCTTGATATGTGGACTAGGAACTCGATCAATGACTTTCTTCGCCCCTAAGGGTCCCTTCGTGTCTGTGCTACCCGGTAACCCGGTACCAGCAACTTTTGTTGTCCACCACAGGGGCTGTACGTTCCAGTACACCGGGGTATCCCCCTACTCGTCTCGAAGGATGTACTGGGTTCTTTATAGTGCACACGAGTCATTGTATACACTGGGACTACGGTTTATAGAAGACTTGTTCTACCACCAGAACCATAGGCGAGCGTGCCGTTTGAACCAGCACCGTTATTATGGCTATAGATTGCGGCGCCCTTGCTAACCGCTCAGCCATTCGACTCACCTCACCATATAATTATAAACGGGTACCTGTAGGATGCTGTGCAATTGAAGTAATTCATAGCAGTGTACAAAGGAAAGAAAAGGAAAAGGTAGCCGCATCACTAGGAGTGCTCATCAGCTAGCAGAGTAGATTGCATATGGTGCTGGTGCAAATGCTAGTTATTCAATGCCATATGGGGTAGTAACATATGTTTGCAAATGTATGTTATTTAATGACAATTAAATGCTCTAAAGACTTTTATCATTATTAGTTTGGAATTGCTGACACATAAAACCATCCATTCCTGATGATGACATAATTAATGTTGAAATATTGAATCCCGACACGATGGCATGCATTTCGATACTTGGAGTATGTATTATACTATCTTATCTGCGAATAATCAGTGGACCTTTCGATAAATCCATAGTACTATCAAAATTATATTCTTTGTTCTTACATCATATTTATAACTGTTGTTGTCACAATAATAATAGTATAATATATAAATTACATACCTTTCTTATTGAATTTGATTTGAAATCCAAACAAAAGTCCCCAGAGACGCTGTACATCTTGCCTTCCAATGTAAAGTGACATTCTATAGATAATTAATAAAAACAATAATTTTATATTATTAAAAGCAAATATGAAAATTGTTTAAAAGTCACTAACTTAAACCTTTTTATTAACTTGTAAATAGGAATATTTATTATATATTTTAATAATTTCAGATGTACATGTTTTTTTTTTATCTGTCATATTAAGGTAATTATTATGGATAAGAAGCAAGCACAGATGTGTGTTGGGCTACATATAAAAAAATATTATATGCTGTGCAATATATATAAAACAAATAAAAAGAAAATATTAAAAACAGAAGTGATGTTGGTTGCAGTACACTTTTGAATATTTTATCATAAATCTGGCAACTTTGAACTTTTACTAGGTTCCAAGAACCATATGAAGAACTGCAATAAAACACTTTTCTTTTGTATTGTTCATGGATTAATAATACAATACTTTTTATATACCACATACATAGATTCCTTCCAGGCACCTGATTGGTTAAAAAACGGGTAATAACTTCAACCATCACTCCTATGACGTGGGTTGAATGATAATTCATAAATTCTCGGGGGAAAAGTACTATATGTCAAATTATTGATGTAATCTCTAGGCCCAACTCTGAACGATGCTGTGTAATTTATGACATACATGGTGAGAAAGGGGACTGCGACCTCTATGATGAGAGATTGGCCCTTTGACTGCCTATGAATAGAAAGTAGGCTTAGGGCCTAGGCCTATGTGGTGGGTATTCTTTTCATTACTTTTTTTAAGATTTGTAGAATCTATGTATGTGGTATATAAAACAAATACTGACAGTCTAGATTCGGGGAACGGTGAAATCTATAGCCCATCGGTGATGTGGAGACCGTAGCCTATTCCGCCCTCGGGAAGATAGTAGTCTCCACATCACTTTGAGTCGAGGCAATATATTTCACCATTCCTCTCATGAGCCGTCAATATTTGTATAATACAAAGGTTACCTGGTGATCAGTACTTGCCTATTTTGATTCATATTTTCACCATAAGCGAAGTAGTAGACATGGTCTGGCGGTGGTCGTGCATTAATACGAAAACAGACTGGAGGCAATGGAGCAATCGGTGATTTATCATCAACCTGTGATCTGCATGCGAATTTAAAAAAAAAAGTTATTAAACTCAATTGTTTTGTTTTGTGTTTCATGGAAAGATAATTTATTTCCGTATGTAACTAATATCTGTGTTCTCATTAGCTGATTCATGTGTACTTCATGTTTTTTAGTTTTCTTATTGTATTCTTAATATAAAATCTGGAGAAAAACAATCTTTAACTTAAAAATGAGTGCAACATGTTAAAAAAAGTTAAATTTTTGAAAACAGAGTAAACAAAAAAAAAAACACACACATCCTCTGTACATTTAGTAAAGTAGTATTTTCACCATTATTAAAGAAAATTTATAAATGAAATAAAATTTTATAATTTTGGTAGAATTGAAGTGCTTACCTTGTTTTGGAGATTTGCTTGCTCTCAGCTACAACTGACAGTGAATTAGGATTGTCCCTGTACAACAAAAATAATAATAATTGATATTTGAAATATAATTAGAAAATCAATGCTACAGTATCAATTGTTTAACATCTTTTGCTGTAGTGCTATCTTCACTGGCATTACCTCAAAACATGCAACAAGATATATAATGGCACTTTAAAAAATACTTTACTTTCACATAAACATGTTTTTGAATCAAATTTGGAAAAAGAAATATGCATTTGTTGTTGTTACAACAGCATAAACATTATGAGTTTAACAGAGTGAAATTTATGCCATATTTTGTGAACTATAAAAGCATTTCATATCATGTACAATATTTGCATTTTTTAAAGAGTATAATTTTATTAGGCTATTATCGTTTCACATTACAACATAACAATTTTGTGGCCTATACTCCTGGGTCGGATGATTTCAATACATTTAAGGTAGGTTCCTAAGGAGAAAAACCATATATATCGGTTCATCAAGACACCACAGACACCACGTTCAATAGTAAATATTAAATTATCGATTTACAAGATTAGATAGTTTTTCTTCAGAGTTTACACTTTGACTATACAAAATATCAGGTTTTAGAATTTATAAATGACAACATCCTATTATTATATCAATTTAAACAAAATTCTTGTGTTCTCATTACCTTCTAAACCTTGTCCACATGGTTAAGTTGAAGGGAAAACAATTAATCAGCAAATTCAAAATCCACCGCAGACTTTATGGCATCATGAAAACTCAATAAACTGTTGCATCATGGAAAGGTAAACATTCCAAATACCAAATATAGCATGAAAAATGGTGCCTTACAATGACTACACATGCATTCAATCTGCATTCAATTTTTTAGATCAGAAAGCCTACTAAACCAATCAGAAAATCAAATAAGCATGTAAGAATAGGATCGCGGTCTGAATTTCAGTTCGGAGCCAATGTGAATGCAGCTTAAGCTCTACAGTGACTACACTGGTCTCAGCAACAGTGACTATAGCTTACTGTTCTAAACAGCAATGACTAGACAGTACTTCACTTAAAACAAAAGTAGCAATAATGGGGAAACTTCGAATGACATATTACCTTGGCAACAATGACCAGGTTTGGCTGCTTCACCAGAAATTGGATCATTCATTTACATAATTTTAAAAATTTTCTTAAATTTTCTGATATTGCAGTCCAATTTTTGAAACTTGTCTTTTTTTTTTTTTGGACTGTGAACCCTAGTTGAGAATTACAAAACTGAGTGAAAAACTGAGTGATCACCAAGTTAGAGCCTGTCAGCCTACTATTTCATTAGATCTCAATTCTGGTTTTGCATTCTCAGATAAATTAGCGTACATAACAATTTGGAAATTATTTATTATAAGACTATCCACACAATACTCAAGCTGTAAAAGTTGTCAAGTTAAACACCATTGCCTCCCACTCTTGTCACCTGAGAGACTGTTACTGCTGGTGAATGGTAGTGATTGGTTCTCTGTCAATTTGGATTTTAGATTATTTCTTGGTTTAAGATCAATTTAAATAATTTAAAAAAGGTATGTACAGTACATGATAATGACCTAATATCAAAACTTAAAAAATGTAAGTTGACTGCAGTTGTCAGACAATTAAAAGGTAGAGTCTCTATTAATATGAAAATATACTCTACTCAAAAGTAGGCTTGCATAAACCTATAACTTTATTTACACTGGTCAACAACTGACAACATTATCAGTAAATGGAAGCGAAGTCTATTTGCAAAAGATAAAGAACAAAATGTATGTTGATCATATAATGCCTGTCACTTGTCAGATTAAATACAGCACTTAAACACCAGAAGCGAATACAGGGATACATATTTCACAAGCTGCAGTACTGTTCTTGAACATTTCAAAATAATAGAATCTATCTATTAACACCAGTATACTCACAGAAAAACCTCACAAAAAACAGGAAGATAATAGCCCACAGTATACAGATGGAAAAAATGTGAGAAATAATATTAATGCTTTCAAGAGGAAAAACAATAGCAACTGAAAATAAAACTGCTTTCCTATCAAATGCCCATGAAAACTGTTATAGCAAATGACACGTCTGGACCAAGATATCTTTAACAGCAGCCTTACAAAGGGACTTCAGACTTAAATGTTTATTATTGAAACATCTCACACTCATATATAGATTAGTAACTGAGGAATCATCTATTTGTAGAATATTCCACTATAAACCAGGGTTGTCTTTAAGATGAGGATTTCCTATTATTGTAGAATCTAAATAAAAATTCTCAGGATATCAAACAAAAAATTGAGTGGTTTTTTTTATCAACTTAGTTGAAATTTATTGGCTTTAAGCAAAAAAAGAACACACAAACAATAAAATTCAGAAAATACAATGCACAAAGCCATCAAATAAAAAATTACGACAAAACTATGGATAACACAAAATTTAGCATTTAGTGGTGAATGGAGATTGACCCATAACGATAGCAAATTTTGGCTTATTCTAATGGGATCCCATTAGTTGCATTTAATATGGCAACATCCTTATGCTCTACATCCTTAGTACATTATGGTAATCAAACAAGTAGAAAATTTTATACTGTCACTGATGATTACAATGCACAGACACACCTCTTATTAATAATGGAATGTGCCATTGTTAGGAATCATTTTTTCTAATTCTCCTCAAGTTATATTTATCAGTAGGCAGGTGTTTATCTTTCCTGTTATTCTTGCTCACCTCGTCTAATATTTACTAAGAGGAATGCCAAAGGCTTTTGAACTTGGATTCTACACACCTACTCATAATAGGTATTTGTTTTTTCATTTATCAACATAAAACAATCCACGGTGTAGGAGTTGATATTTCAATTTGATATTGCTATTACAGATATAAAATGAATTCAGATAAATTAAGAATATATACCAATTCAATCCAATGAGCCTAAAGTGTGCATCTTATTGATGTATGCCTATTTTATCAATTTTTGTACAGATATTTTTTGTATTTCCAAAAAATTTAGTCATATACCTTTTATAGAGACATGATCATTGTTTATTTGTATAATTTGTATTAAATTTGCTTTCTTTTATTACCATCATTATCATCGTCACCGTTATCATTATCATCATCAACTTTATTACTTAAATGGTTTCAATTGAAATACAGAAGTCTGTACAATTTTTTAAATTTAAAAATACTAATAGTCTGTAAATCACTTAATTAACAATCAATTAAGTTTTTACTAAAAAAAATTTAACATAAAAAAGAAATATGAAGTGGACAACATCTATTTTTAATCACTATGCTTTACATTACATCTAGACTTTCTACAAAATTAAGCAGTAAAAAACAACTTGGTTAGAAAAAAATATTAAAATAAGAATATGAATGATATCCAATTGATAATCTAACTATACTTTATTACTCTAGTGTAAAACTGTTTTTTTTTTTTTATTCAATTCAATTAGAACTTAGAATTTTTTTGGAGTAAATATTGCAGGGACACTGCCAGAGTAATCTTGGGTATTTGAAAAACAAATTTTCAAAGAGTTATGCATAGCTTTAGATGAAAACAATGTACTTACATATCAGTGAGTGAAACGGCTTCATTTATGACCTGCAAAACAAAACACAAACTGATAGATTGATGTGCAAATTATTTCATAGCAAATGGAAACATTGCAAGTAAAACTAGAGCAGGTACTCAATAGTGTATACATCTGCCATACCACATTATTAATGTGATTTTTTTAATATTCATTGATCTTGACCTATGATCTTTAATCTCAAACTCTAATTACAGTAACATTTTCAATATACACCAATATTTAGCATTCCACTAAATTTTATGAAGATCTATTCATTAGTTTTTGCATAATACTGCTAACAGAAATTGGTGGTGAATACATAACCTCCAAGGTAGAGAATAGGGACTGAAGAATACAAAACAAAATTTAAAGGAAGAGTTTACCAATTTCATACAATTTGAGAAAAGATTTAGCATACTAGTTACATAGTATCCCATTTTTAAAATTATGAATCTTGTGCGCCATTGTTATGTACAGTGTAGGCATTCTCAACTATAAAAAAAATTGGAAGAGAACAGGTGTATACTTTAAATGAGAGAATTGGTAAAAAAAAGTGACAAAAATTACTTACTGGTTTGTCTGTGACAGAGTCGTGTTCACCAGTTTCTGCAGATGCACTTCTAGCTGCAGAACCATTTACTGGAGTGACATCTAAGCAGCCTAGTTCGACATCCAGAGCATGGTTTGTCTGATTCATCACCTGATTTTTGACCAGGATGTTTTTAGCACCATCATTAGACCAACCGCTAATTAGCATTTCACTAAAACAAGCTGTTGCAGAATGATCTTTGAAGATTCCATTATCATACATGTTTCTATACTTCATTATGAGATTGTTGGCTTTATCTGTCATCTGCAAGTCTTCTCTGGGACTCCAGCATTCCTTTGCATGTTCCACTACCTCAAGATTTTCGTCAGACGGTGAGGTAATTGGTTCAGTGTACGCACTATTTATCCTTGGAGAAGAGTGAAAGAATCTGTCTTTACTGCTTGCAGCCTTTGATCTCGGACAGACACAAGTATCCTCATCCAGACCACATATGCCACAAAAGATAACGCTCTCATCAATCTCTGGTATATCATTGTATTCTAAGTCAATATCAGACATCTTTGATTGCACAAATGCATAATCTGTATAAGCATTCTCTGACATTAGATTCTGGTTCACTGTGGTTGACAATCTGCTTCCTTGGATATCTCCTGATTTTGATTCAGAATCATCTGTTCCTTTACCATCATTGGTTTGATCATCATGGCCTTTGTCTGTATTCTCTCTTCCAGTTGGTCCCTGAGGTTCAGTACCACTAGCAGATCCTGATCCATTATTACCATCATTTTCATCATCTTTATCAGTTCCAGTTTTATATTCCTCAGCTGCATCCTCAATTTCATCTTCCTTTTCGTCATCTTCATTTTCATCAATAACATTGGCATCTGAAAGTGTAGCAAACTGCTTTTGTACATCATTAATGACATACGATTCAGGTGACTGTGCACCATTTGGAATGCTTGAAGTTATACTATTGTCATGTTCATTCTCTGTCAGGAACATCCAGGGTGTTTTGTTTTGTAAATCATCATTATTATTATTTTGAAATTCGTCATCAGACCTGCTGCTGGCAGAGTCTGAATTTTCCTCAACACACTTCAAACTGCTCACTGTTTTATCAGCAAAAGAACTCGGCATATTAGACTCAGATTTAACTCGCATTTCCATTGGTGTAAACATCATTTGATCACCGCATGGTTGCGGATCTGACATTTTCCTTGATTCTATCTCTACTATTGTAACATTATCAGAAATTCTGACTTCTTTGGCATTGGCTTTGGCAACATATAATTTAATGTCATTGGCACTATATTCTTTCATTTCTAATGTTCTCTTTACTGAATCATCAACTTTTTTTGGCACTTTCATTTCTTTTGAACCTTCATAATTAGAAACAACTGATCGTTTATCAACTTTGTTTGAATGTTCTAAAGCAGTTTCGTCTTCACTCCTTTCATTTCCTTCTATTTGTTTGTCCATATTTTTAGATAAATGCTTTAAACAGTTAGTATCTTCAAGGGCTACGTCCCTGACAACTCTGTTAATTTCTAAAGGAGGATTATCCTGGAAGTTTCCATCCTGAAGATTTAAATATAAGTCATGGGGATGATCATTTTGTTCTGGGCTCAAGGTAATGTGAGTAGGTTTACTATCTATTTCAGTTTCATTGTGTTCATTATTAGATGCATTAGTGTCAATAGACGTAGCAGGAGCTCCATCAGTTTGAATGCTGTTGCGAATTGAAATAGAACTGTTTGGTTGCTTACAATTTTCTGAAACATTACTGATCCCTTCTTTTACAATATGATTTTCATTTAGGTCTGTGCGAGTGTGTACTTCGTGAATTGAACAATGTTCTTTTTTTAAGTCATACTTTTCAGAAACTTTCTCAGCATTCTCTATTATTGAAAGATTCACCATTTGTGATTCTATAACTTCTGATTGACTATTGATTTCACTTTCACTTAAGAGTATGTTTGTGATATCTTTTAAACCGTCCCCTTCTGCTTCTTCAGTAACTGGCAATAATATCTTTTCAGCTTTTTTGGAACTATCTGCAGTGTCATTCAAAATAACCAAATCTAGAGTGTGGACGTTGAGTTTATGATCTGGAAATCTGACATTCTTCTCCAATGGTTCAACAACTAGAGTAGAGTCATCACTGGTGTTATTTTCTTGCAATGATGCATCATCTTCTTCCTCTAGAAGCTTCTCTAAATGCTGCTTTGCTACTGCTTCAAGGATATTTGGCTGGTCTGGTACAGTTACAGGTCTCTCTGTATCAACTTCAAATGTTTCATCCCCAAAGAGATTCTGTGTTCCTTGTTCTGGAGCTGTTTGGACTCTCTCAAGACTATTTCCATTCCAAACAAGACCACTAAAAATATTTTCTGCTGATGCTTTAGAGGTTTTCAAAATTGACTTTTGAGTAAAGTTTACTTTTTCTTCAACAAGTTTGCGCCGGTTTCTACCCTTTGTTAAAGCAGAATCAATCATGCCTGCAGCACCATCAATAAGGACATCACTAAAGCTGGCCATACTGTCACCAGATGGTCCATCCAGGCCTAGCCTGGAGAGAGTCTTGTTGGGAGACTGCACTGACATGTATTGCATCAATCGCCTTTCCATTTCAGGGTCGGCAGGAATCTCTTGATCTAGCAGCATTTCTTGGTTATATTCATAACCGAAGATTGTACCACTGTCTGGAGGTATTTGGTGAAATTCTGAGCATGACTGACTTGCTTCATTTTGGCTTTGAATATAAAAAATAGCTAAATGTTAACAATCTTAGTATAACCCATTTGAATATGGAGCTGCATAGCTTAGTGGTTAAGATGCTTGCCCTTTAATCCCAGGGTCCTGGGTTCAATTCCTGTTACTGCAGGTCTTTTTCTCATGACTAAAAGCAACTCCACTCCAGAGTTATTTCATTTACTTAAGAGAGCCAACCTTCTAATATATGCTGGAAGAGTCACCCTCTATAAATATGGTAAAAAAAAAATAAAATAGAATAATGTTTCATCTACCTATAAATAATGGATGCATGGATGAATGAATGAAATGGTAGAAATGTTGGTGACCAGCATATTAATATTTAAGACAAATACACAGACTTCTACCCTAAAATAAAAATAAGCACAATGACAAATATAAAAAAAAAATTCTAAAAAGCCAAGTCAAAGTTCAAGCTTACAATGTCACAGCATCAAAATCATCAAGCTCACGATCTTCAGACAGGTTGGATGCGACAGAGGTCCGGTGTACAGATTCCCGCGTGGCTGGACGTTCCTGGAATATTCCAGGTGGAAGCATGTCCAGGAGTTGCTTTTTTCGCATCTGTAGTTTCAGTTGACTAGGGCTCTGGGGTTTCTTTTCTGGCTGAACACCAGCGCAATGATCTACTGTTGGTCCAACTGGTGTAAATGCATGAAGTGGCTTCAGTCTGTAAAAGATGAAATACCATACATTTTAAATAAATTTACAGTTAAGACCAATTAGCATGTCTCCATCACAAATAAACAAACAAAAAGTTTCTGAATTACATTTTATTGCCAGAATGCTTTTGGTATAATAGAGTATTTAATGAGCTCCTTAAAGTACTGAAACTAATGTGAATTGTCCAGTTCTATACAGGGCTTTGGCAAAAAAAACCCAATGTAATTTCTTTAGCATCATGAATATTTAAAAAATGTATATTGTTTATGTGTAAGCTCATCACACTTAAAACTATCAAAAAATTATAAATTTTGCATCAGTTTAATGCAAAATTGATAATAAAAACAGTATCAACAAATTGTTTGTGAGTGCATTTATGATTGAACAATTTCACTCCACTTTTGGAAACAGGTTTTTCATACAATTATTTTTCATTTAATATTCTGATAAATAAGAGGTTTACACCACACATATAAAACATAGTTTTGACAAGCAACACACTGTAAACAGTTTGCACATCGGTTGTGGCTTGGACTCCTAACCTCGAGAATTTGAAACTCTCGCAGTGCAAATCGCTTGTGTTCTTGGGCAAGGCACTTTATCTATGGTTGCCTCTCTCCACCCAGGAGTACAAGTGGGTACCTGGTAGGTTCGAACACAACTGCACTGATTAATAGCTGCAATATAATGGAATTCTCCCCTGGGAGCTGAGTATGTGTTCCATACGTGTTTGATCCAATGACTAGAGTAATATGCATAAAGCGCTATATAAGACCGACATATTATTATTATTATTAAACAGTACTTTAGAGACTAGAAAACTTAAATTTGGACAAGGTTCGGTTCACCCATAGTGCGGTGTAAGAAGTATTTATGAAAAAGAAATATGCAATCAATATGAGCTAAGCAAAAGTCAAATGACCTGGGCATACATTATCATAGTGGGATGTATTGTAAAAACATTCAAATTACACCTGCAATTTCAACCAATCATATGCCAGCATCTGTGGATATATATAACTACTATACCTTGCTTTCAGGAGTCTGCCATTCTTTTTGTTTATGGGCAAATCCCTCTCTGCTGCTAAGGATTTTGACACAAGGCAGATGGCATTGGCAGTCTTTATCTTCAAATCAAGATCTGGTGCGCTTGGAAGCTCCTTGAAATATAAAAGAAAATATAAAATTAATGACTCGAATTGCAAGAGAAACAATTGCAGCTTCAATAATCTACAGTGAAAACAACGTTTTAAAAATGGTTTAAATATCCCAGATTCAATAATATGTCTCTGTTTTAATAAATATCATAAAATGATGTATTGGGATTCTTCTATTGGGAACATTAAAACACTTTGAAGTCCTCTAACAATAACTGATAGCACAGAGGGGGTGGGGGGGGGCAAAAAATGAATTTTTGGTTTAACACCAATGGCCCCACCCAAACTTTGATGCTTCCAGTGTGCTTCCAAAAACCTTCATGCACTGCTTTTATACCACTTTATTCTTAGCTTTAATATTACTTTTCACAGATGATTGGTGTCGGGCTGAAAAAAACAAAGTGTTTCCTAGCCAAATATGTTTGGTGGGCCAGAGAAATAGATTATTTAATTTATTTTTGTGGGCCACAAAAAAAAAATCACTGTCGGGTCACATGCAGCCCACACTTTACCCCCTGTGTGTAAGCAAATATAAGTAATTTATATAACATAAAATAGTACGTACAGTATAACAGCATATATTAGTTTATGGAAGGACGTACCCAAGAAATAGAGGGCCTAACTAACAAGTATCTAAGTAAGTATTCAAGTATTAGTATTGGAGGGCAATGTATCCTAAAAGAAATAATCCATACTGTTAATGGCTCGGAACTGTCTGCATGCTTAAAAGGATGCCTGACTTGTTGATTGGGATAGAGTGAAGACGACTCAATTGCAGTCACAGATGGCACAACATTCTGACGCCTCTCTAGTGGTCTCCCAGAATTTGGCCAAAACTTGTTGCCCATCGACCATAGATTTGGTGGTCCAGTGATAAAGCTTGGGTTCCTGACAAAGAAAAATGAAGAAACAAGGTTTATATTATATACAGAACATTTCATTTTTTGTTTTTCATAATCAATTTCTGAAAAATGAAATAAGTTAGAGTCATGCAATAAATGTTCATTTTTCCTAAAAGTTTTCCTATAATAATCTATGAATTGTGTTACTTTGTAACATGCTGTAGTAATGCTCAGTTACTAGCGCATGAGACCCACATGGTCTCAACTACTTTACAAAATATTTTTATTATACATTATGATTTATCATGATTATAATATTATTCCTATTATTTCTAGTTATAATTAAAGCATGGATTAAAAAAATTAAGAAACACCCCATTCCAAACTGGACATAGCCTGCAACGTCATAATTCAGAAGATTTCAAGCCGCTATTACTTGAAATATTACCAAAACCACATGCTACATATATTACAAGAAAGTTAAATATGCTACTGTAATATTATTATGCAAGTGAAAATATAGCGTAATTACTTTCAAGATACATTATCTACTG